AGGATTTGAACCAGCTGTTGGTAGTTCAGCGACCTCTATAATTCATTAAATGTATTAATAATTCATCATCATGGATATTTGCTTGATGGAAATTAATGATGGATGAATGGATGAAGATTTGTTGATTGGAGTCTTTGTTGGCTGGTTGGTGGTTGATTGATTGATTGATTGATTGAGTGATTGATTGATTGATTGATTGATTGATTGATTTGTGTAGGATTGTTGACCCAAGGGTTTCTACGGGGTGGAGTGGGTAGTTTCCTGAAAGGAGGAGGATCTGCTGTTAGCCCTGAGGTCAGGGTTGGAGTAGCATACTCCTTCGTATTCTGCTTCAGGTAAGGAGTATTCTTGGGGATATATTATTTATCTTTTATGAACTGGTAACAGCTTTCAGGAAATATATTGTGAAATGATAACAGCGCAGGGAACTTTTAAGTGTGCATTAGTATACAATAATAGTTTACACTGTACAAAGAACTATATCATACAATGGTATTGCCCATGGGCATCAAAATTAGTGTGTACTAGAAGGTATGCTTTATGGTGTTATGCTGAAGGTGGTCTGGGATAGATACTCTAGTTCTGGGCACCCTTCATGTCAAATACAATTATTATATTTAGATGTTTGGGACAGAGTTGGGTGGAGAAAAATCTATCAGTTATTATAACACAGGTAATTTTTTTTCCCTTATCTACTTCACTAGAAACTTTAGCTCATTCTGGTTCTTATTTTCTACTGTATAACTGTCAGACTGCTTGTAATAAGAAACATTTATGCCTACTACAATAGAAACTATTGCTTATTCTGGTTCTCATTTTCTACTGTGTAACTGTAATACTGCTTGTAATAAGAAACATTTATGCCTACTATAATAGAAACTTTAGCTCATTCTGGTTCTCATTTTCTACTGTGTAACTGTAATACTGCTTGTAATAAGAAACATTTATGCCTACTACAATAGAAACTATTGCTTATTCTGGTTCTCATTTTCCAGTGTAAAACTGTAAGATTGCTTGTAATAAGAAACATTTATGCCTACTACAATAGAAACTATTGCTTAATCTGGTTCTCATTTTCCAGTGTTAAACTTGTTTGTTCCCATCTTAGGCTATGGTAGGGTATACTTGTACCTGCCTCCTGGTGTTACCTCATCTTCTGATGGCCAGGGGAAGGGGGGTTAAAGTGCGCTCACCTGATGGCAGTCTGGGTTCTCCAACACANGGGGGGGGGGGGGCTTTCAGATCTGCTCCCTGATACTCCAGAATAAGATACATTCACCCCACGCACTGTGAATTGTTCATTGCAAGATAAAAAGTCACTTAAAAACATGATTAAAAATCCCTTTTAATGTCAAGGTGTCTGAGCTTGTATCCAGTCCAAAGTCAGGAAGTACTCACACTGAACTTGTGTGTGCACGAAATTCAGTTTCTTTCATTCTTTCCTCAGTGCTTGGAAGAATGCTCAGGTAAGGGGAAGTTTGAAAAGTCATAAAATATTTAAAAGTAATTTTTTTCCTGCTTAACTTTTGATTCACTGTAACTATGTCAAATGTCCCTGACAATGACCAATATCAGCATCTATGATCATGCTTTTGGCTATGACTAACTAAGGCTTAATGACCACAACTAAAACTTTGACATTGTAGAAGCCTTGCCATTGATCCATAATTCTGAACAGGATTAAGGTCATGATCAATGAACGTTTAAGTCACAACACCATTGACCATTGGTACATGGCAATGGCTAAATTTCTATAACCATAACCGTTTCCATGTCCATGTTAAAGTTTATGACCACATCCATAACCATTAACAATAACCATGTCCATGACCCAACCAAACCTATGTCAATGATTGTAACCCCAATGTCTAGGGAGAAAGCCCAGCTGAGTGCGTGTAAGGAACTGGTTTCCTCTCTACTCCGCAGCATAAGTTGTACTACTGCAGACCAGGGTAAATAAATGGAAAGTAGAATACTGTTAGAGGAGCACCTCTCACCTGGCGGCGGTCTGGGGGGGTCCATTTCGGGGTCCTTTACAGATCCCTTTCTGAATACTTAATACTTAACTTTTATGCGACCTTCCATTTATTCAAGTTGCATGTGCGATTCACAAAACAGTACTCTTAAAAGTTGTGTCTGGAAATTTTAAACATTTTATAACTTTTAAAGCACAAAAAACTAGCATATCTGTTAAATTACTGATCAATAAAAAATGTCAAGAGTACCTTTGTTAGGGAACAACCTTTGTAACTACCTTTGTAACTACCTTTGTAACTACCTTTGTAACTCAAACATGGCTCCTTTAAATGGCGTGACACTTGAAATTTAAAATTTCAAAAAAATAAAAATAAAAAATGTCAAGAGTACCTTTGTTAGGTAACTACCTTTGTAACTACCTTTGTAACTCAAACATGGCTCCTTTAAATGGCGTGACACTTGAGATTTCAAATTTCAAAAAAAAAATAGTTTGAAATTGTATACATGCAACTGTGAACACTAAGGTTTATAGTTTGATATCCGGTTTATAGTTTGATATCCGGTTTATAGTTTGATATCCAAATTATGATTTAATATCCGGTTTATATTTTGATATTCGGTTTATAGTTTGATATCTGGTTTATATTTTTATATCCGGTTTACATTTTTAAATCCGGTTTATATTTTTATATCCGGTTTACATTTTTAAATCCGGTTTATAGTTTGATATCCGGTTTATAGTTTGATATCCAGTTTATAGTTTGATATCCGGTTTATAGTTTGATATCCAGTTTATAGTTTGATATCCGGTTTATAGTTTGATATCCGGTTTATAGTTTGGTTACTTAAAGTGCTGATGTCTGGTGATTCACTTCTAATATACATGTTCAATACTATTGAATCAATAGTTAGAGCGGATTTAAACATAATAGATATATATTTTTACATAGCGCAAACTGCAAGTTTTAAATATAAATTGACACTGAACCCTTAAGGCTTACCCAAGGTACTAATGCAAGGAAAGTTATTTCAGAGGTGTACGCATTTTTTGTACTGCAGTGTACTGTCACAAAGTAATCTATGAAATATTCTGGTCTTAGGAAACTATTATGTGAATTTTCAAAATTATCAAAATTAAATGTTTTTATCCTCCTCAGATACAGACGAACACTGATGCATCTATTCTTGTTTACAAATTCCGCCCAGAGAGAACTGGTTTCAATATGTATGCAGAGTTTACGCGACCGCAATTAACTTTCCTTGCATTAGTACCTTGGGCTCACTTAATATTTGTGATGTTATTTGTGGCCATGACTAAAACTTTCTTTGCATGCCCCTCCCTTCCCCATACAGTAGTGTTCAAAATGGTGCAAAATTAAAAATGATGACGTGAAAGGTTGGGAACTATTATGAATACACTTCTCTCTGATTCAAGTCTCAAGCTGATAGATACGGTCTTTAGCTGTCTTCTTTCTCCTAGTTCAGCTGTCAGGTATAGTTTTCAACTGTCTTCTTTCTCCTAGTTCAGCTGTCAGGTATAGTTTTCAACTGTCTTCTTTCTCCTAGTTCAGCTGTCAGGTATATTACTTAACTGTCTTCTTTCTCCTAGTTCAGCTGTCTGGTATAGTTTTCAACTGTTTTCTGTCTCCTAGTTCAGCTGTCTGGTATAGTTTTCAATTGTCTTCTTTCTCCTAGTTCAGCTGTCAGGTATAGTTTTCAACTGTCTTCTTTTTCCTAGTTCAGCTGTCAGGTATATTACTTAACTGTCTTCTTTCTCCTAGTTCAGCTGTCAGGTATAGTTTTCAATTGTCTTCTGTCTCCTAGTTCAGATGTCAGGTATAGTTTTCAATTGTCTTCTTTCTCCTAGTTCAGATGTCAAGTATAGTTTTCAATTGTCTTCTTTCTCCTAGTTCAGATGTCAGGTATAGTTTTCAACTGTCTTCTTTCTCCTAGTTCAGCTATCAGGTATAGTTTTCAACTGTCTTCTTTCTCCTAGTTCAGCTGTCAGGTATAGTTTTCAACTGACTTCTTTCTCCTAGTTCAGATGTCAGGTATAGTTTTCAACTGTCTTCTTTCTCCTAGTTCAGCTGTTAGGTATAGTTTTCAACTTTCTATTTTCTCCTAGTTCATCTGTCAGGTATAGTTTTCAACTGTCTTCTTTCTCCAAGTTCAGCTGTCAGGTATAGTTTTTAACTGTCTTCTTTCTCCTAGTTCAGCTGTCAGGTATAGTTTTCAATTGTCTTCTTTCTCCTAGTTCAGCTGTCAGGTATAGTTTTCAACTGTCTTCTTTCTCCTAGTTCAGCTGTCAGGTATAGACCCTGATCAAATGCTAATGTCGATGAGTTATATTGTCACACCTGTTTTTTTAGATGGAAACTTCAATTAAGCCATAACTTTTAGTGTTAAATAATATTTTCACCTGAAAGGTACTGTCGACCTTATATTTAAAACAATACAGGCCTGATTAACAACCTTACACCTTTGCCTTTTATTAGACTAACAATGAAGAAGATATTCTTGTTTTTCTACTTCATAAATCCACAACCACAGCAGAAATTTGTACATAGAAAACAAGAATATTTCCAGAATTTTTGTATTTATAAAAGAATTAAAAGTGACATTCTGACTCACTTTCTAAACAGAAGGAAGTTGAAATTACATAAACAGCTTATTAAAGAAGAAAAATGAGAAAAAAATTAAAATCGCTGAATGTGTTGAGATGAGGATATTTATTCAATCTTGATTATAAGTTTGGGGTTGAGCGCCAAATACAAGATCAAACTTTGATTGGTTTTGTTGTTCAGTGGATACAGTTGCGGATTAGCTGCACTTCTAGGTGAATTTAATACTTTAAGCTATTAGCTTGAGTCGTAAACCCTTAATCATACATTTTACTAATTCAATTCAGTATTTTTAGAGTCTGTTGGAAAACTTCTCTTGAGAGAAATAAATGAATAGAAATAGTAAATTACATTTTTCATAAATGTCTGAAAAAGCTTTACACTAAATGTTTAAAAAAATCACAGTCCAATATGATCCACTGATACCCAGGAAGACAAGGGTAAGTGGCCAGGATCTCAACCCTAGAGCTCAACATTGCATAGCCTGCAGAACATGATACTTTGACTCAGTGCTTAGGATCCATTTAATAATGATGCGGATCCGGATCCGGATCCTGGATCCGTACTGGAAAAAAAGAGATCCAGATCCAAATTCGGATCCGGATTTACTGAATTTTTTAACAAAAAAAATTTTCAAACTTTTTGTTTTATTTTTTCGCTTATTTTTCTCCTAAAACTTGATGAACCATTCAGAAATGAAGAAATTTTTATAATCTCTCTTTTTTCAAAAGTTCAGATTTGGGTTTTAGGAGTAAAGCCGTTTTATGGTTGATATTTTACCCTTTGGATCCGAATCCGTGGATCAGCATACTTTTGCGGATCCGGATCCAGGAAGCCAAAATCTTCCGGATCCGGATCCTAAGCACTGCTTTGACTGCAGGTTGAATGATAATAATGAGAATAAAAATGATTTCAGGTGCTGTGGTAAACACTCCTAATGGAGTTCCTCATACAAGAGGGAAAATCATCTTTAATTCCGGAGAGGAGCTTCTCAGGTAGTAATAGTTGTGGAAATGAAAGTTTGAATGCCTTATTTATTTAATTTAACTAAATTCCTGAGGGTATTTTTTTCCCAAATAACTCCCACCCTTTAGTACCTCCCCGTGTACGACAGGTCGGCAACCATGCCTGGGGATTTCTGTTAAATTTCACCTAGGGCATGTTCTGGATGTAAGCGACATAGCTGCAGGGATTCTGGGAACCTGCGTAAACCGTATCTTTTCATCTTGATATTTGTACATTTTGAGAAGAAAAAAATGTTGATATTTTGTCCTTGGTAGGGCTGGGCGTCAATCCTGGGGAATGATTGTTCTTTCACGGGAACAAACAAACGAAATAAACGATTTTATAAAGAAGTAACACGCCCAGACCTAGTCATGAGGATTTAAATCCATGAATTTACATATCCAGTAAAAATATTGTGCATCTAGTAGATCAGGATTAAGATCCTAACCACATTGCCTTCTGTGTCATTTTAAGAAACAGATTTCTTACATGCTGCATTTTTTTGTACCCATTTTTTTTGACAAAACATATCGTTTATTTTTAAGAATTATTACCAGGGGGAAAAAAATAAAAAATTCGATTTTTTCCACTTCCGGGATTTTTTTTCATATCCCAAGTTGTATGCAGAAATCATTTTCATAATAGAGGGGGAAATGATTTTTCAAGTAAATATACACCCCTGTATATTTCCAGATCTGCGTCCCAAAATAGTAGACTAAGCAAGGAGAGAACTAGAGCAGGATGGATTTTAATTGGAGCAATCATGAGCCTTGGATCATCAGTGGTTAAGGGACTTCTCCCAAGGTATCAATGTTGTACTACAGGGTGTCCCGCAAAAGATGAGACTGTAAAGACGACCTAAAACTCTTAAAACATGACGATCCCAAGGTTGAATTAAGTCTTCTACCTTGAATTTAGTATTTTATTATCTTATTTTTGGATTTAGCACAGAAAGAAATAAGTTTACAGTTGCAGGGAATCTTATTCGTTAATAAATAGACAGCAACAATTCCGTAACTGAAGTCTCATCCTTTGTGGGTAACTCTGTATATAAATAAATTGAACTGACCTAATTATCCACCTTTCCACCTAGTTACATACATTCATTCCTATTCACCAATCTAAAAACCTACCAACCTATCTACTTACTTACAACTTACTTACCTACCAACCTATTCACCAACCTATCTTCTTACCTTCTACTTACTTACTACTTACTTACTACTCACTTACAACTTACTTACCTACCAACCTATTTACCAACCTATCTACCAACCTATCTACTTACCTTCTACTTACTTACTACTTACTTACTACTTACTTACTACTTACTTACCTACCAACCTATCTACTTACTTACAACTTACTTACCTACCAACCTATCTACCAACCTATCTACTTACCTACTACTTACTTACTACTTACTTACTACTTACTTACAACTTACTTACCTACCAACCTATTCACCAACCTATCTACTTACCTACTACTTACTACTTACTTACAACTTACTTACCTACCAATCTATCTACCAACCTATCTACTTGCCAACTACTTACTTACTACTTACTTACAACTTACTTACCTACCAACCTATTCACCAACCTATCTACTTACCTACTACTTACTTACTACTTACTTACTACTTACTTACAACTTACTTACCTGCCAACCTATCTACCAACCTATCTGCTTACCTACTACTTACTTACTACTTACTTACCTACCAACTTATCTACTTACCTATCTACTTACCTATCTACTTACCTAGGTGCATGCTTCTGTGGAGAAATGCATTTCCAAGATCCCAGAAAGATCTTGAGAGCGAACAGGAATACACAGTTACAAATTAATTAATTGATTATTTATTACTTTTTATTTGTTTTATTTAGGTAACACAACGTCACAATTCAGAATGAGTGGGCTAAAAATATTGTTTATTTACGATAAATTTTCACTAACAACGGTCAGACTCCTATGCATTTGTAATTGCAGTTGCATAGAAGTCTGACTTCATAAGCTAAGTCATAATAAATCCTAGTGTTGTCACATTCTAGACAACATACTATACTAATCAATTTGTAATAATAAACAACTCTAGTGTTGTCACAGTCTAGACAACATACCATACTTATCAATTTGTAATAATAAACGATTCTAGTGTTGTCACATTCTAGGGGTTCCACATTTGGTTCCCTTCCAAATTTAACCTTAATTTGATTTCACTTTTCAATTTGTAACTTTGCACATCTAAGGCCCGAGGAGATGCGTTTACATGGTTGGTCAGTTTGGAAGCCCGTTCAGGTGCTCTAGCGTCAATGCATAGCTTTGTGGTCAGCTGCCCAGACCTACTTACAGAGGATATCCTTAGGTAATAGAATTAACATCAGTTTTGTATGGTAGAACAATAATGGTATTTTCTGACCTCTAACTGGCTCTTGAGACACTCTAATAACTTCCATATCACTTTTCATGAGTTTAAATACTAAAAAATCAATTGTGAAGTGAACTGCATCATGTAGAGTAGAGATCATACTTTTGAAACTTAAGATTATACTTTGAAACTTAGGATCATACTTTTGAAACTTAAAAGTAACTAAAGGTTTTTCTATATCTATTACATATAAGGGTTACATAACAAAATAATTTTCAAGTGATACTCAATCATTTTGCTTCATTTCAGTTGATGTTACTTTATTTAAAAAAGTTTTACCTGGTTTTATGTAATTTTTAGTCACTTACTATTGCAGTCACATTAAATACATTTAGTATATTTCGAAGGTCAGGGACGTCAACAGTTGTTGCATTGAATAATGAACTGTCTGGAAATAAAAATAAATCCGTTTTGGGCAGTCTGTCTGCGTAAGCCTCCTTCCTACGACAAAGAAGTCCACTTTGCAAATGGATACACTTCAGTAGAGAGGAGTGTCAACCCCTATATCATATAATGATGGGTTGTCTGCTAATGATAATATTTAATGATAATTGGTAAGATAATGTTGTTATTAAGGAGACTAGGTGTACCCCTGGAATAATGTTAATATTAAGGAGACTAGGTGTACCCCTGGAATAATGTTAATATTAAGGAGACTAGGTGTACCCCTGGAATAATGTTAATATTAAGGAGACTAGGTGTACCCCTGGAATAATGTTAATATTAAGGAGACTAGGTGTACCCCTGGAATAATGTTAATATTAAGGAGACTAGGTGTACCCCTGGAATAATGTTAATATTAAGGAGACTAGGTGTACCCCTGGAATAATGTTAATATTAAGGAGACTAGGTGTACCCCTGGAATAATGTTAATATTAAGGAGACTAGGTGTACCCCTGGAATAATGTTAATATTAAGGAGACTAGGTGTACCCCTGGAATAATGTTAATATTAAGGAGACTAGGTGTACCCCTGGAATAATGTTAATATTAAGGAGACTAGGTGTACCCCTGGAATAATGTTAATATTAAGGAGACTAGGTGTACCCCTGGAATAATGTTAATATTAAGGAGACTANGGTGTCTGATATCTGGATCAGTTAATTTTATAATAGAGGTGTCTGATATCTGGATCAGTTAATTTTATAATAGAGGTGTCTGATATCTGGATCAGGACCTGTTACCTATTCTTCAGAACAAACCCCTTAAAATGACATAATTATGGGATGTGTTAATAAAGATGTTCCTTTAAAGGGACTGTAAGAGAAATTTAAGGTGACCCTCCATGCAAAAATGACAATGTTATATTCACAATGGTACCCTTAAATCCTTTATCTGATCAATAATGTGAAAGGTTTGGTGTTTTTTTAGGTTTATAAGTGTTCCTGATCAGACAAAGCTTTTAAGGGTACCATTGTGAGTCTGACACTGACATCGTTGCATGGTGGGTCATTTAAAATTTTGCTTACAGTCCCTTAATCCCAGTCTTGTTAAAGGTCATTTTCTGCACAGCTGAGAGCTCCAGCTGCAACAGTTAGACTGAGGCTCCTAGAGGTAACTTTTCAGCCGCATTGTTTCGTACATTCCGTAAATTTATGTAATTTTACGGAATTTGCGAAATTTTAAGTTATTTTTCATTTTATACTACTATGCATCATTACATTCAGTATAATTTAGAACATAACCGGGAATTGAACCTTCAGAGCTGAAAACTTAAGAATGGGATATCTCCCGATCGGTTAATGAATATGGAGATTAATAACAAGAGAAGAACAAGCATTATTTAATCTGGTGAATATCCACCATTCTAAAGTTTTCAGCTCAGGCTGTTTAATGGAGTCTAAACCTTTCCCTAAAATTCTTGATTTGATTTGATTTGATTTGATTTGATTGGATTTGATTTGATATGATTTGATTTGATTTGATTTGATTTGATTTGATTTGATTTGATTTGATTTGATTTGATTTGATTTGATTTGATTTGATTTAGGTGATAAGTGTTCTTCCTACTTCCACGCTTGAGAGTTCATATACATCCCTTCTTCGTCTTCTAGTTGCAGAGATAACATTATCAGATTCATCTACAGTTCCTACATCTACATCCATCCTTCCTTCCCTTCTTACTCCAGGTACATTCATTCTTCCTTCCCTCCTTACTCCAGGTACATTCATTCTTCATTCCCTCCTTACTCCAGGTACATTCATTATTACTACAAGGTCGTAAAATAATGGATTGATTGATTTATAATTTTATTCCTATTTTATTCCTCCAGGAGACTCTGTGCTGCTAGGACTAGATGTAGAAGATGAACTAAATAAACTTATTGAAGATCAACTTGCACATTATAGTGCTGCAGGTACACGCCCTGTCAACAAGTAAAGTTGTTGGTGGAGCTCATTGAAAGGTTGACATTAGAAAGGTGATGGTCTGGGTGGGTCCATTTCGGAGCTTTTAACAGATTACAGTTCTTATTTTTTTAGTTTTTTTATTGAATTATTGACATTTTTTTTATTCTTATCCTTTTTTCGTTTTTTAATTATACTTAGACATTTCATCAGGTTTTTGTTCTTTTCCCTTAAACAAATCCTTTTTTATAAATACTAAATTCCTGTCTTTTATTTTAGGATCAGGAGCTCTCGAACATGATCCATGTTTCCTTTTCCGGTCACGTGATTCAGAAAACCTTCCACTTCCGCTAGGTATATTTTTTACTTAAACAAGTGGTGATAACTCATAAAATTTTCTACAGCCGACTTCTAACAAAGAAGAAATGAATCTGAACGTGTTGATAAACGAGGGATTGCTTAAAATGACTACAGACAGAATTTTAAGTTACACTTATATTTAAAGAGTAGCATGTTCAATTCACAACGGTTCTCTTTAAACTTTTGTTCCCGACTAGCAATATTTGTCTAGTTGATACTTAAGTTGCAAGAAAATCCTTGTGTGCAGTGAATGTTAGCAAAATACGGAAATATCTATCGTAGAATATCAGTTTAAGCTTAAAAGGGTTCCATTGTGAACCAGACATGCCATCACATAAGCGGAAGGGGCACTGGAAATTGTGTATACAGCCCATTTAACTAAGCCCCCGCTTGAACAGAATAAGTTGACCTCATTTCCTCCATTCCACTTTATGTACACTACACTGTACTCAACTGTATATTGTACAGTATTCTACTTTACATTGCACTGCAAAACTCTACTGTACAATTTACACTTTGTAATATACTCTACTATACTTAGGGTTGTTAATCGTTTTTGTAAATCGTTAAACGATCGTTTCGTTTTTTAAAACGATTTGCGACCGTTTTTTATACGATTGTTTTTAATAAACGAGTTTTTGAGAAAAATTTTTTTATTGACAATTATGTTAACGATGGTTCGTCGATAACGATCGTTAACGAAGGGTTGTCGTTAACGAAACGACGAATTTTATGAAAACGGTCGTTTTTGGAAAAAAATTACATGCTACTTTATTGAATGTCGTCTTACATGAAGTTTAACAGTTGTGTGGGAGTTAAAAATCCTTGATATTTTCTTAAAACCTACTCAATGATAAGTACGATGCCCTTCAGGTCAGTTTCCTCTCTTCGTTAACGATCGTTAACGAAGGGTCGTCGTTAACGATCGTTAACAAAACAACGAATTTTATAAAAACGATCGTTTTGAAAAACGATCGTTTTGAAAAACGATCGTTTTAAAAACGACCATTTTTAAAAAAACGAACTTTTTAAAAAACGATCGTTTTTAAAAACGATCGTTTCGTTTTCGATTTTTCGTCGTCGTTTTCATAACGAAACGATCGTTTTTCTGAAAAATGAAAACGTTAGCATCCCTAACTATACTCTGCATTGTAAAGGTTTGTAAATTAACACTGTGTGTATACTTTCAAATCCTTGAGTCCTGGTTTCTCATAAACCTATGAGTAGTAATGGCGAAACATTTTTATGAAACACGCCTGGAACCTGATGAGTTCTCAGAAATGGAGCTTCTCTGGATAGACCGCCTGGAACCTAGAGAGTTACCAGAAATGGAGTTGCTTCGGGTAGACCGCCTGGAACCTAGAGAGTTACCAGAAATGGAGGTGCTCTGGGCAGACAGCCTGGAACCTGATGAGTTCCCAGAAATGGAGCTGCTCTGGGTAGACCGCCTGGAACCTAGAGAGTTCCCAGAAATGGAGCTGCTCTGGGCAGACCGCCTGGAACCTGATGAGTTCCCAGAAATGGAGCTGCTCTGGGTAGACCGCCTGGAACCTAGAGAGTTCCCAAAATTGGAGCTGCTCTGGGCAGACCGCCTGGAACCTAGAGAGTTCCCAGAAATGAAGCTGCTCTGGGTAGACCGCCTGGAACCTAGAGAGTTCCCAGAAATGGAAAATTATTTTCCAAGAATTATATTTTTTTACGGGGTTTAGATTTTTTTAGTTTCTTTTAAATATTGACTCCATTGAAGTCAAAGGGACTGTAAGCGTAATTTCAAGTGACACTCAATGTAAAGATGATAATACCAGATGGATATAGATG